GTGCACCAATTAATATTATTTATTTTTATATAGAAACACACTTCCTGGAAATCCACAGACAAACATAGACCTTATACTCATAGACGGAGCACGGAGCATTGCGCTCTTCGACTATTACTCAATTATTACTACCCACATGCGCAATAGAATTTCAGGTTGGGTGTTCGGTTATTGAGTTTAAACAATTATTGTATGTTAATGCCACTTAATGGATTGATGGTTATAACTTATAACACAAAAATTATGTAGTTTCTGAATGAATAATATATTAATTTATCTAATATATATGATTTATTATTAATTAATTATTATGATAATTATAATTTTTTTAAAAATATGCATTTTTAATTTTGTGTCTTAATAATGACAGTATAAATATGCCAATAAACATATTTTATGTTGTCAGAAATGACAACACTGCTATGATGATGGCTGTGACCGCTCCACTCAGCCCCGCCAACCTGCAGTAATGCTCCGTCTATGAGTATAAGGTCTAAGAGACTCAAAAGGAAATGGTGTCGTGACCATTTCAATTAAATATCTCTCCTCAGTTACCCCCCAAAAAAAATTAAAAAATTAAAAACACCGAGCCAAATGCCATTAATGGGTGGCTTCTTGTTTAATAAATCCATGTTATATAACCTTTAGCTTATATGCTTATTGTGCTTAATTGTATGTATAATGAGTGTGATTTTGTACAATAAAAATTTTTTTTTATATATTCAACACATAAACCGTCGAATCGGCGTATCTATATGTAATAATAATAATTAATCGATTCGGCTAGACACGACGTCTCGGACCTACTGAATATTTTTCCCAGTTGCCCAATCGGTTTTTTATTTTCTTATTTTTTTTTTTTTTACATCTCGAACTCGATTAGGGCGTACGTCAAGAACAGAATGATTATAATTTATATTGTATTCAGATTTGGATGGGTTGTCACTCGAACGTCGACTTTCATTATGTACGCGCGGCGTTCCATTCGCGAACTTCCTGTGATTCCAATCAAACACCGACACGTATCGTACGAGATTACTTCCGAGGATATAGTCGTCTCGTCTACGAAACGCTCCTAAATATTATGCACTATTATATTTTAATAATATATTATATTATTTTAGGTGTGTTGCGACATACAAATGTGGGTATATTTTGTGTTATCAGTTTTTCGTAATTATCTGGGAAATGGCAATCGTTGAGTATTATTATTGGGTTGTCACTTAATTTCTTGTGAGCCGATTATTATTATTTATTTTTATATAGTCAACGCAGAAACCACTGAACTTTTAATAATAATAATTGATCGAGTCGGCTACACGACGTCTGGTCGAATATTTTCCTGGTTACCCAATATATATTATATTATAATAATAATTCATTCTCGAGCGTTCCATTCGCGAACTTGCTGTAACGAAAATGCGCCGGAAACGTCGACTCCAATCAAACACCGACATGCATCGTACGAGATGCCTTCTGCGGATAAAGTCGTCTCGTCCACGAAACGCTCCTAAATAATAATATGCACTACCTATTATATTTTAATCTAATATATAAAAATCTCGTGTCACAATATGGACAATGTATGTCGCCAAGCTCCTCCGAAACGGCTTGACCGATTTTTATGAAATTTTGTGTGTATATTCAGTAGGTCTGGGAGAGTGAAGTAAACTATTTTTCATACCCCAAGGTCCAGCCCGGGGAGGTGCTCAAACGGGGATTTTGAGATTTACGGTGGAAATTTTTGTTTATAAATGCTTGCTATGGGTTTTAAAGCTATAATAATAAAAATTATTGGCTGCCATTGGTTAATCTTTGGTTTATAAATGTTTATTATTATTAATAATGATTAATGAAGTATAATATTAGTATTAGTATTATATTTGTATATCGGTTATTCAAGCATGCATCAAATCGGATTGTCGCATATATTGCCAACCAATTCGTTATGGAATGTCCGAAATCCACCGCAGGTGGATTGTCTACTCGATATACTGTTGCAAATTGTCCGGGGGGGGGGGGGGGGCTGATTTGCATTTACTGTTGAGAGTTACATCTAAAAGGATTTGAACAATCACAATTTTTTAAAGAGTTGTCATTTTTTTTCAACGAAGTGCACGGGATCAGCTTGTAATATATATATTTTAGGTGTGTTGCGAGGGACATTGTTATCATATAATAACGATATTATTGTATTGTTTTCGACAACACGAGCGGCATTAAAATATTATTATAATAGTAGATACCTAAATAATAATAATTGTACGGCGGAGTGCGGCATCGATTAAAATATGAATAAGAAAACGATTTCGGTGCCGAGAACCGACAGCAGCCGCCCTCAGCAGCGTGTGGGTACAATACGTAATATATTATTATAATATCATATAGACGCAATAATTCAATAATATAAGAAACAATAATGGGCGAACAGTCATCATAATTTATTCGCAAATGCATAATAATATTATATTATATTTTATATATATATATAACGACCGCGTAATATATTATATGTTTTATAGTCCTTTTATACTATAGCCGCGCCGGCCTCGTATAATATGTATTTATTAAACGCCGAATTGTTATGAACATTATTCGTTTTCGATACCACAATCCCCGACCCCCCCCCCCCCCCCCCACGGCTTCAGTCAGTGGCGTTACTTTGCCACAGTTGTATTATTATCATACTGTACATTATTGTGTAAAATAAAAGGACTAGACGTGCCATCCCGTCTTCGCAATTGTCGTATTATAATTATACTCGTGTGTACAATGTTTGTTTTAAATAGTATTTTTAGATATCTTGCCGTTACGATGTTAAGTGCAGCTTTTCGATAGTAAAATATTATTTGTAATCGTTTTCTTACAAAATATGACATGCCTACTGAGTGGTACCTAACCTACTTTCTAAGAGATATTCCTGCTACAGGAGGGCATTAACGAAGAGGATTATAATTGTGATCCGCAGCTATTTTGGGGAGGCGAAGATATTTAAATATTTCTTAAATAACAAACTCTTGAACATATTATTATGAAAAGTGGTTTTAAAATTCAAATATGTGTCTATGATACATAATATTAAGATAATAAGATTATTAATAATATTATTAAGTATAAAATTCAGATATATTTTTTAGTAATTTTCTTACAAAATAAATATATATACTCAGTGGTACTCATTGGATTATTTTTATGAGATATTTCAGGTGGGAAATAACGCAAAGGATTCTTGTTCGTGTCAGCGATTCACGGAAATATTTTAAATATTTCTTAATTTATTGAATTATGAAACATAGTTTTAGAGTTAAAATATTTGTCTTTGATAGGTACCTATTATTATCATTATTATAATATTATTAAGATGTTATACAATGTATGTTCGTCGATCGTAGGATAAGTGTAACATTCCTACATATTTGTTATCATTTTCTTACAATATAATATAATATCATACTAAGTGGCATATTTTTAAGATATATTCATGGTGGGAAATAAGCAAAAGATTAATATCCTAGGCACCGCTTTTCAGGAGGAAGATACCCATTTAAATTTAATATTTCGTTAAACAACAAATCATTATATTGAATTATGAAATATAGTTTTAAAATTTTAAGTTGAAATTATATTTCTCTGTACAATTTATTATTATATCAAGATATTGTAACATGTAGGTACTATCTTTAAGCAACTAAATTAGGAAGAAGCCATTGTGTAATAAAATCGTCCGAAAGCATTTACAGCTAAACAAATGTGTACCTAGGGTACTATACCCTATAAATTCGAAACCGAAGGTAACTATATTATAGTATATATTATAACTATATGAAGGAGTAAATGTAAAATCCCCTTTGCGCATATAGTAAACAATACTTTTGAGTGAAATAAAATATAATATAAGTATACTGTTTATATCCGACTAGGCCAACGACAGCCATTCCTTACCTGTCATAATATTATTATTATTATTTACCTCTATTATATAGATTATTTGTTAGCGGATCTATGTATATTTATTTTTTTATAATATATCATTAAACGCGCATATAATGAATATTAATGTTATTAATTAAGATGTGTTTGGAACATTTTTGAAGACACGTTTTATTAGTCTGCGATTTTAAGCGGTACTTGTAACTGTATCGATCAAAATAAATAGTTTCAAATCAAAGCTGAGAATGTTCATGATTATTTTTAACACAGTGGAGTTAATATCCACCAATAACAAAAAGTTAAAAGTTAATTTAACTATAGGTTAACTCAGTTAAATTAAAAGTTAATACACACTTTTTATTATTTAAGTTAAAAAAAGTAATTTTTATTTTTTAACCAATGCTAGTGTACTTAATTTTTTTCTAACCCAAAACTAAATTATAAACTATGGTGTTACAGTATAATATAAATTGTTAACTTAAAACAATTCACAGTAAATATTTTACTTTGTTGATTAAAAATCAAGTAAGTATGGTAATTAAAATGAAAAAAGTCTGAGTATCGAAAACTTCAAGAATTTGTGTTAAATAGGAAAATAATAAAAATTTAACTAAGTAATGATGAGTACTAGGGTACTTTAGCTAGCTTTAATATAAAATATTAATGAGAGAGATTTGATATCACACCCAAGAGGTAAAACGATTTGAATCCATAAAAACGTCGCCGTTAACAGTCCCAAAATTTCTATTTTTAACTTTTCTCCTAAACTATGATAGCTAGAAAGTTGGTTGGTTAAATACATCAAAATGTGGAAATAAAATTTTTTTAAAAAAATTATTTAATTTTTCACAGTTAAAAAAAAAAGAGTTATTTTGGGCTAGATTTTCATTTAAGGAGGTAGATTTTCGAAACTTGAGAACAGAGTTTGTTGTTTAGGGTCTTGTTAGATTCACATTATTAGCTAGGAGAAGTGCAGTGAAGATTTTCAGAACTTTACCTTCAATAGTTAATTCACTAAAAAGCTGTAAAGCTAAAAAACATCAACAAATGCCCAATAAAATGTGTCGAAGTCACCTAGTCATTGACCTAAAAAAAGGGTGTCTGCCGGACAGCAGATTTATGAACCGGAGGACGTATGCTTGGCAGCCGATAACGACGCCGGCTGTGGACTCATCATTGTCGAAGTATAATAATCTTGGTCTGATCAGCCGTTGTAATAAATCTCGTTGGCCGCGGAAAAGTTCCCATAGACGGTAGGACGCACGACGAAAGTCCACCATACGACTAGCTGTAGCCACTAAACGAATTAGGCGTAGGCCAATTCTTTCGGCCATCGGAAGGCGATTTGCTGAAGTCCTGAAGATTGGCAGGTGACTGCAGTGTTGTCGGTGTGGTATACCATCGTCGGTCCGACTCTTCGAGGTGACCTATAAGATTAGATTCAGCTGATGTAAAACAGTGTCGATCTTGTGCAGATTGACACGTGTTCACGCTGTATGTTTATGGCTAATTCACCCTGTGTTCACCCATATTATATTGTCCATCCAGGTAGTTACATTGACGAGTGATAAATCTTTAAAGATATTATATCATGTGTTGTCTCTATCTTACTAACACATATAAAATGACAAAAACTGGTTTGAGCGGGAAAGCTATGCTCCCTCTGTATTTATAACAGAATTACCAAAACTCCACAAAGCATAGGGAAGAGCTTTGTCTGTTTCGTAGCGTTTTTATTATTTGGATAACATAAATACAATTAAAGATATTAGTTTGAGAACATTAGGTTGTTTTTTTCATTTAATTATTAAAAATTATTGTTAAGTGCTATCAAAAAAAAAACAAAAACTCAACAATATTGCTTTATAAGCAGTTTAAGCTAGAATTTTAACAAAAGTCGTCAAAATCGATAAAATTTGAAAACTATTGTTATGAAGTTGGATATCTATAAAATATTTCCTTATAAAGAATAATGTGTTGGCTGTATATTATTATATTTTGTTGCCATGAAATTCGATTGCCTGTTAAATTTATTACTATAGGTTTGGTTACATTCAAATATATTTATTATCATTTTATTTTACGATTTACGATTTTTTTGTGTTATTGTATTCTTATATTTTCATCTCAAGTTCGATTAATTTGCAATGGATAGTCAACGAAACGACGTTACTACAACGGCCTACGACTCAGAGAAAATCGACATGACTCTTTTGCAGTTAAATCCAGATGAACTCGAATTCTTAGATATCGTGGCCCACTGGATAGTAGAACCCAAGGAAACGAGTACTTCGGTCTAAGAAAACCCGATATTATAGCTGAAGAAAATGTAACATACCTTCTCTGTAGTGAAAACGTGTCAACGTTGAATACGTCAATGATGGCTTCTCAGGTCCAAATGCTTAATAATGTCCGGCAGATAGACAAATCTACAACAAATGTTATACAGACATTATATATACAGATTACAGATTAAAGGTAATAGGTTTATGATAACAATATTGTTTACAAGGAAATATTTTATGGATATCCAACTTCATAACAATAGTTTTCAAATTTTATCGATTTTGACGACTTTTGTTAAAATTCTAACTTAAACTGCTTATAAAGCAATATTGTTGAGTTTTTGTTTTTTTGATAGCACTTAACAATAATTTTTAATAATTAAACGAAAAAACAAAAACAACCTAATGTTCTCAAACTAATATCTTTAATTGTATTTATGTTATCCAAATTCCAAATAATAAAAAAGCTACGAAACAAACAAAGCTCTTCCCTATGCTTTGTGGAGTTTTGGTAATTCTGTTATAAATACAGATGGAGCATAGCTTTCCCACTCAAACCAGTTTTTGTCATTTTATATGCGTTAGTAAGATAGAGACAACACATCCTCTTAAAAATGTTCTCTAAAAAACATTCTTAAACTGATAAGACGTAATAATATTAAAATTACTTACATTACACTATCTCAATAAATAATTAACTATGCATTTGGGCATAGGTGTAGATTTTAAAACAACACCTTTCTCCATGAATCATAGCTGGTATCATTAAACAATTTCATAATTAATTAACTTTAGTCTGTCAAGAAAAATTTTAAATAAACCTATAGACTTAATTCAATCAGTTTGATATGAATATTGTCTGTTGATTTAAAATCTATTATACATTCCGTAGGTATTCCATTAACTTTGAAGATATTTTGTTAAATCATAACTCATAAGTTTAATATAAGAGTAAGAAAAAAATCAAATACTAAATATGTTATACGACAATGTACTTTAGCTTTATACAACCGGCGGTCATCGTTTCCGCCAAAAAACTCGAATTTATTTTCCGCCAATTATCGTTTACGCCAAAACGAAAAAGTTCGATTTTCATTTCCGACAAATCTATTTCTACCTATATTATTATTGAGATGTAGTTTGAGAACTCCTAGTCAGCTGTCTGCAGTGCTATCGACCATCGATGTACTTATGGTGATAACTGATTTAATATTGAAAATATCATAAAGAGGTAATATTGATTTCAAACGTAGAAATACTACCTACATATTATACATAAATATAAATCTATAAAACCTATATCACTTGTAGATTTTAATATATCTATAGTGTCTGTGGTATCGGGATAGGATCTGCGAGTACTGTGGCAACAACGACGAAATTACTAGTATTTTGACATGAAAACGATATAGACTGAAATAGTGGAATAATATAATTAAATTAAAAACAAAATAAATGAACCTGACTTACTTCTTAAACGGCAAAAGTAATTCGTTAATTCACGTTAGTTAAAAAATATATGTAGTAAGTTAACAGTTAAGTTAATGTAAAGCAAACAGTAACTAGTCAAGTTAAATAGTTAAAATTAAAGTAACTTTCTAACTTAACTTGAACTCTTTAACTCGTTAATTCCCAGCCTTGATTTTGATAACCAAATGGGTAATAACTAATAATATACATAGCGTTTCAATTTGGAGACATATCTCGCGGGCGTATGAGATGTCAGATGTATGATAATATTATGTACAGCCGTAAGACAGACGAATGAGAATCATATCAATCGAAATAATATATAAGTTTGATAATCAAATAGGTAATAAGTAATAACTATGGCTGTGAATTTGTAGGAAAGTGCATTTTTTTTTTTGGTGATACTTTTATTTTGCATATTTATGCATTTTTTGGCGTTATAAATTTTTTAGGTCATTTTTTTACATTTTTAGGTCATATTTTTTTTAGTTAATATTCCAGTTTCTGGTATTTTTAATAAAATTCCGTCAATTGACATGTTTGTAAACATTATTTTGTTTTTTTTGCCCAATGCAAAAGTAGAGACTAAACATGAATAATGTACCTGCAAATAAATATATTTAAGTTTTTTTTTATTATTTTAACAAAATAAATACATAAAAAAAATTTTTTAAAATATTTCAGGTAAATAGCATTATACAAAATTCAAATATATTTTAATTTTAATTTTTTTTAAATAAACACAATATTTTATGCATGTAAAATGTAATGTACTAATGTATAATATAATATAATATAATATCATTAATATCAATATAAATATTTAAATTAAATTAAAAACCATTTTAAGTGTATTTTATACTATATAATTATTGACTTTTTATACTGCAATTTTTAGTGCAAATTTTATTGCATTTTTTAAGGTTTTTTAGTGTATTAAATACACATCCCTGGTAAGAACTAATAATGTACACAGCGCTTCAACTCGGAGACATATCTAGAGGGCATATGAGATCTATGATAATAATATTATGTATTACAGCCGTATTGACAGACGATTGAGAATCTCACGACAATTATTTTATCAGTTGGAGACGATTTGTTTTTTTTCGGTTTGAAACTTTAAAAATTATAAATCACCCGGCTACCGGCAAATTAATATTAATAATAATAATAACAACAACAACACACCATCATACGTGATATTTCATCCCAGAGCAATATTGCGCACGTCGTTGGACTTGCAGTGACCGACTTTCGGGTTATCTTGTAGATTTACGATTCGCGTTGTCCATTATTAGTTATTACAATATAAAATATATAATATGACCATGGGCACCACGCACTCACAAACTCTCGATGAGCTCGTCGTGATCACACCACCATCGCCGGTCGAGTCGAATTTTTCGTAAACCAATATTTTATATACGATAAGCTCGTCCTTTGCTCACATACATTTTAATATATTATATAAAAGCTGTGCACTTTGTCTCAATTATATAATTATATTTTTATTATAATAGCTTTAAAACACATATGACAACCGTTTATAAACAAAAATCTCTGTTTGAGAGCACCTCCCGGGGTTGCAGGTCCTCTCCCTTTTTAAATTAGCCCGTCTCCCGCCCAGAGGTATAATCTATCTCTGTAACAATAATTTCATCGACATCTTTCCAGCCGTTTAGGAATGCGTAAAGGCCACATACAGACAGACAAACATTCATTTTTACACAAATATAATATATAGATAGTAATATTATGTATTGACAATACTTGACCACTCGGTTTTTGGAACTGGAAAAGATCATCAACAACGTCGCGTGCAACGAACCAATTACACGTTATATAGCATCGAGCGAGCACTTCGGGCAAACTGTTTTCGGAGCTAATATTTTAACGTAACTGCCGCCGTCAATGTGTGACGATGAAATAAATCGTGTCCCTCAGGAGCACTTGGGACCGTTCATTGCGAATTCTCACGGTATATGTATATATCAATATTTATGTATATAATATATATATATATATATATATATACATACCTAAGTATGTATGTTTATGTGTATATATATATATATATATATATGTGTGTGTGTGTGTGTGTATGTTATCAGTGCGTGGAGCATGTGTTCACGGGATTAGGAAGTGATTCTTATTCGTATTATATTGTATGTAGTATATTATTATTATATACAAACATCCGGTGCGGAACACGCATGCGTGATAAATAAATACGATTCTGGCTAATTCTTATTTATACTCGATTGTTCGACGGAAACGTAAGCAGTGAAAATAATGGGGAACACAATTATTATTATTATAACCGACACCGGAGTTGCGGTTTGATAACAATCACACGCATAATATAATATGCGTCCTAGAAATGGCTTATATTAAATGTCCTTACATTAAAGTCAATAGTGTTAATACTTAGGCTTCAGGGGCGGTGTGGTCGAGTGAACATGATTTTTTAAGGGGAAGAGAGATCAATAACGAGCAAAAAAAAAAAAAACTAGGGAAATAGAATCTTCTGAAGTATTTGATCAAGAAACAATTATTAGCTGTGCAATGATATTTATATTATATATATTATTTTCATTTATAAAGATATTCACTATCTGTTATCTGAAACAATAAGTACAATTGGTACTTAGGTAGTAATAAATAATAATAAAAGGTTCACACGAATAACTTGTGAAGGAAGCTTTTCTCTAAAGCTGCGCCTCAGATATCCATTACGATGTAACATTCTTATTTTATGACATTCATGTTGGAATTGAGCTTTGTTAATGTCTTGCGAATAAAATAGGTGATGGGAAAAAAAAAGGTAGATGCAAAAAAATGATGTAGGTTTTGTTCCTTTTATTTAAACAGTTCAACAAAAAAACATAACTGTCTCGGCGACATAACCCGACTAGGCCTGACATGCAATAATTCACATTTTTCTAAATTGGAGGTTAGTTTTTAAATGTGATAAGTGCAGTGGACTGTATTTTAAATTGATTACATGATAATGATAACATTCTTGCTAAACATACCGGCCCCCTTGAGAGGTATTCTCAAAAGGAAGTGGAATAAATAAATAAATAATTTAAACATTTGTAAAAATGGCATAATGGGTAAGTTACAGATAAATTTCAACAGAGTATAAACTATAGTATCATAACAATATAAAATTCACATAAGGTGACACAAAATTTCTTGATTAATAACAAAACAAATAATTGAATAATTGAATTAATTGGCTTTAACCAGTTAACTAATGTTCGATAGGCAGTCTTATGAGTTTATTAATAGGACGCTTTAGCACCGAATCCTTTATCTTCAGTGTGACAACTCGCACGAAGTGGTCTGCAGGATTGGGGTGCACCTCGAGGATTCTGGCTAGGGGCCACTGAGTGGGAGCCATATTTTCTTTCTTGAGGAGAACGAGATCGTGGACTTGGAGGTTAGGCTGGGGAGTGGTCCATTTATTCTGTTGCTGTAGTGTAGCCAAATAATCTTGCGACCATTGTTTCCAGAAGGACTGCTGCAGTTTCTGGATTCTATTCCACCTGGTGAGTCGATTGGTGGGTGTTGGCTCAGGAATGTCGACTTCAGGTAATGACATAGGAGCTTTACCTAACAGGAAGTGCCCGGGAGTCAGTGCTGAGTAATCGGTGGCTTCCATACTGGCGGGGCAAAGTGGTCGAGAGTTAAGTTGCGCTTCGACTTGACAAAACAATGTGTGTAATTCTTCATATATAAAGACACTATTTAGAGTTATGCGTTGGAGTATGCGTTTACAAGATTTGATGTTAGCTTCCCAAATACCACCAAAATGTGGCGAAGCTGGTGGGATAAAGTGCCAGTCTATCTCTCTGGGCAAACAGAAAGTATTCAGGGCTGAGTTCAATTGTTGAGAGCACAGCAATTTATACACTTCATGTAGTTTATGATGTTTACTAGTAAAATTCGTACCATTATCACTGTACATTTTAGTTGGATAGCTAAAATTAGCTTACATTATAATTACATTATAATATTAAAATATAATAATATTATAATATTATATTATAATATTATAAATAATAATAATAATATTATAATATTATATTATAATATTATAACCTTACATTACATTATTAACCTTACATTTTAGCCTCGTCTGGCAACAAAACGTTTCAGTGTGGCGATGAAGGTATCGGCTGACAAGTCACTCACTATTTCTAGGTGTACAGCCTTGGTGGTCAGGCAAATGAAGAGAGCTAAATATGTTTTGTACACAATTCTTGAACGTCCAACTGAGGGCTTAGTACTGAAAGGTCCGGCAAAATCAACTCCACAATGGCTGAACACTGGTGCGTAATTAACTCTAAAAGCCGGTAAGTCAGCCATGAGTTGGTGGGTTTTGACTTGTCGAAATCTGTAACACTTAACACAATCATGAAGAACCTTTCTGATGATGCTGCGCCCATGTACAACCCAATACTTCTGCCGCACCAGAGACATAGTGACATTGAGACCAGCATGCTGGTGCAGAAGGTGGATGGAGCGTACTACCATAGTTGTATACAGATGTGCCTTTGGTAAAAGAACTGGATGCCTCATGTCATAAGGTAAACTAGACTGAGTGAGTCGACCACCAACGCGTAAGACCCCTGCTATGTCAAGGAAGGGGTTTAGGCTGACCAGAGTACTGGATGACTTGACGGGGAGACCCAGTCGCAGCTGATGAAGGTCGAGTGGAAAGCATTCCTGTTGTACTAACCGGATCCATTTTAAGTTGGCTGATCGCCATTCACACACAGTTGGTAATACAGTTAGACGAAGAGCTACAGGTTTTTGGCAGTTGTGATAGAAACGTAAAATGTAACAAGTGACATGCAATAACTTACTCAAATCCGAGTACTTAGCTAGCAAGTTGGAGTTAAACGCGTCAGCTTCTGTGGTCACATGTGTAGTTACCTGTGGCTTACGTTCCTCTTGGAGAGTTTGATTTGGATCCTCACATTCAAACGTAGACTGTGGCCATGGATTGGGGGGTAATAGCCATTGTGGACCATGCCACCACAAGGCATTTGTAATAAGTTGATCACCTGACAGGCCCCTGGAGGCCAGGTCCGCAGGATTGTCCTGAGACGGGACATGCCGCCACACCGCTGAGGGACACCAGGTTTGAATTTGACTCACTCGATTGGATACAAAGGTAGTCCACCGGTGTGGATCACTCTGAATCCACTGTAGAGTGATTGTAGAATCCGTCCACAAGTTGACTGATTCTATGTTGATTGTAGACAGTGCCTCTAATAGGTGTTTGGTCAAGGATGCTAACAACGTGGAGCCACACAACTCAAGCCTGGGTATTGATTGGGTCTTAAGAGGTGCAACTCTGGTCTTAGACAGAACTAAATGTGATGATGATTTACCGTCAGGAAACACTGACACTAGGTAGAGAGCAGCAGCATAAGCTTGTTCCGAACTGTCACTGTAACCGTGTAGACTATATGTGGTTACCTGAGTGTGTTCGTCATTGCAATGCCGTGGTAATTCAAAGAAGCGAAGAGCACCGTAGGAAGATCGATGATCCGACCACCATTTGATCAGTGTGTCAGGCAGCGGGTCGTCCCAATCCAACTTGTTCTTCCACAGGTGTTGCATAATGATCTTCGCAACGATCACAAGTGGGCTTAACCATCCACACGGATCAAAAATCCTCGCGATTTCCGAAAGTAATGAGCGTTTAGTACATGTTTCACCAACCTTGGAAGATTCAACATGAAATGAGAACGTATCGCGTTGAGCATTCCATGATATACCCAATATTTTGATTGACGGATCCATGTGGTCGATCAGCGTTAGTTGAGTGGCTCTTAGTGCTGTCGGAATGTGCGTTAAAACTGCTTCACAGTTGGTGGCCCACTTACGTAGTTCAAACCCACCTCGGGCGAGCAAGTGTAGTAGCTCCTGGTGTAGCTTGATTGTGGCAGTAATGTCATCTCGTCCGGTCATTACCTCATCCACATAGAAATCTCGCTGTAGCACCGCAGCTGCCTCAGGATGAGTCCCTTGCTCGTCGTAGGCCAATTGCTTCAGGACTCGTAAAGCATGGTATGGTGATGTGATAAGCCCATACGTCACCGTATTTAAGGTATAACTTCTTATTGGACTAGATTCATTTGGACGCCAGACAATACCTTGGTAGACACGATCGTCGGGGTGTACTAAGATTTGTCGGAACATTTGTCGAATGTCTGCGGTAATAACATAGCGAGGTAGACGGAAACGGATTAATATGTCAATTACCTCTTTCTGTAATTTTTGTCCTTTGTGAAGTAGTTCATTCAATGAGTTTCCTGTGTCCATGGTGCATGAACCATCAAACACAACACGAAGCTTCGTAGTAGTACTGGATGGGTTTAAAACTTGATGATGTGGAATGAATATAATCGGACTTGGACTAGTGGACTCTACTAATGTCATGTGATGGGCTGTTACATAATCACTCATAAAATCTTTGTAGAGTTGGTGTAAGGCAGGTTTGGTCTGCAGACTTCTCTCAACTTTCTTTAAGCGTTGAACAGCGAGCTGGTAAGAATTGTTCACTAGCGGTGGTTCTTTTACAAAAGGAAGTCTGACAGTGTAACGACCAGAGCTGTCTCGCGTAAATGTCTCAACAAAATGCTTTTCACACTGTTGGTCTTCTTTGGACATACATGTGAGGCGTGGTACCTCTTCCAGTTCCCAAAATCGGTTTACAAGTGATTCAACTGTCGTGGTACAACACGTGACCGACTTAAACATTGATAGTTCATTGTGGGGTTTAGATAATTTTCCACATACTATCCACCCAAAGATAGAGTTGTGTAGCGACGGCGTACCTTTGGGTCCTTGTATTTTACCATCGAGCATTATATCCAGACTGTATTCAGCACTTATGAGTAAGTCGATTTTGTTGGGCACATGGAATGTTGGATCGGCTAACTCAACCTGCTCTAAATGAGTCCACTGTGAAACATCCACGGCTGCAGTGGGTAGATCCACAGTTATCTTAGGAGACACTAAGGCAGTTAACGTCATTTGTTTGCCATTTGTCCTAGGAGAAATATTGAACGTGGAAACTTGAGATGTGGTTGTAGAAGCATTTGATACACCATCAATTATCATTGGCTGATGCAATGTTTTTAAACCTAACCGACTTGCTAAGGCTTTAGTAATGAAATGTGATTCAGATGCAGTGTCTATTAATGCACGGCATAGTTCTGACCGTCCACTTGGTCCGTACACGCGCACCACTGCTGTTGATAATATGACCGTTGACTTTTCTCTTAAGGCACCATGATTAACTGCCACAGTGTCTATTCCACTAGATGTCGATGGTTGTGTCTTGAGAGTCAACGTGGGCACTTCAGAAGTATTGTTTTCTCCCTTAGAGTCACCAAAATGTAAAAGTGTATGATGTTTACCACCACATTCTTTACATGTTTTATCAGATGAGCATTGACTGGAAGAATGTGAGGCCCGTAGACAATTTATACACAATTTGGCCTTCTTAGCCAATGCATGTCGCTCACTCGCTGTTGACTTCATAAATAAATTACACTGATAAATAATATGATGCTGTGAACAAATATTGCACGGCTGCTTATTACCTTGTGCTGCAGTCACAGCATGAGTTGTTGCTCGACTGTTGCACTTGTTGGTAAGCTTAGATCTGGGTGTACTGGATGATTGTAGTTGTAATAAATCTAACACGTGTATTCTTTTCTCCATAATTTTACACATTTGTAACCAAGATGGAGACTCATAGGCAGATGATTCAATTTCCCATGCTTTTCTGAGTTCACTTGGTAAACGGGATGATATAAGGTAAATTATAATTGTATCCCAAGACTCAGTGGGTTGTTTTAATACTTTTAATGCTCTAAGATGTTTATTTGTTGTATCAACCAATGCCTTCAAGGAGCTAACAGCTTCACTCTGAATGTGTGGTTGATTGAACAAATGTTGTAAGTGTACTTGTAGAACAAGACGTTCATTATCATAACGGTTTGTCAACAAAGACCAAGCCTCCAGATAATTGTTACCAGTCGATGATAATGATGCAATTACATTAGCCGCTTCTCCTGATAAACATGATTTTAAATAGTGCATTTTTCTGGTGTTGTCAATGTATTTATTAACGTGAATAACAGATGAAAATTGGTCGTGGAAAGCATACCAATCTTCCAATTTTCCTGTGAATGTAGGCAGGTTCATGGGAGGTAACCTGATGGATTGTTGCCCTTGTTCGCTAAGTGCATTTTCGTTTTGAGGTTCGTGTGTAGTTTGCCTTAAGTCTAATGTACTTTGCAAAATCCCCTTGATTTTAATGAACGTCCGAGATACCTCTTCCAAGGCGTCAATCATTAACTCAACCTCAGAGTCCTCGACCAACAAGGACAGCTCATCGTGTGCATTTGCATACGTTGTAAACGCACTTTCTGCAAGTTCTAAATGCACTTTTATTTCGTGACTCGCCAGTCCCTCCATTGTCAATGTGGTGACTATGTGTAACTTTTTCCTTATCAGCTTTTCCTTGTTTGAGAGAGTTTTTCGTAAAGTTGTCAACTTCTCCTCCATCTTGAATCAATTAGGTAAGTCAATACAAAATAGACGGAAAGCCGATTACGCGATTGTACAACGCACGACACAGACGGAAACGCGCATGTAACGCGTACGAAACCGACGACCGATGTATACGCGAATGTAACGCGCACGACACTTAGAATATGACCGTCGGACACGCGAATGTAACGCGCACGACAATTAGAATATGACCGTCGGACACGCGAATGTAACGCGTACGAAACCGACGAACGATGTATACGCGAATGTAACGCGCACAAATCTCGAATTCATATCCTGCTCGAATTGACCAATAAATGATGGGAAAAAAAAAGGTAGATGCAAAAAAATGATGTAGGTTTTGTTCCTTTTATTTAAACAGTTCAACAA